ACGGGGTTTCACCATGTTGACCAGGATGGTCTCGATCTCTTGACCTCGTGATCCACCCGCCTCGGCCTCCCAAAGTGCTGGAATTATAGGCGTGAGCCACCGCGCCCGGCCTGCTAGAGTATTCTACCCTATGTGTAGGCCACACTTCTCTGATCTGTTGAGTTGTTTCTACACTCGGGTGTTTCCCAGTCTGGGGCTGCGAAACCCCTCATTTTCTGCCTGTTTCCCCCCTCCAGGCAAAGCCACGCCAGGGACCAGTTGGTCCATGGCTCTGGATCTAGGATGGACCAATGGGCACGGCTGCTTCGGAGGTCCAAGGAGAAAACAAAGGAAGGCTTGCAGCGCCTGCAGCCCTGGGCATGGACACTGAAGAGGATCGGGGGTGCGGCGGTGGTGGGGTGGTGTCCTGGGGCAGGGCCTGGACTCCAGAATGCGAGGGAAGAGGACCCTGGGCTATGGACTTTTGGGTCTGAGGGTGAAGGGACTGGGGTCCTGGACTCCTGGGTCTGAGGGAGGAGGGGCTGGGGTCTGGATTCTGGGTCTGAGGGAGGAGGGGCTGGGGGCCTGAACTCGGGTCCGAGAAAGGCGCCGCTGGGCCGGGCGCGGTGGCTCACGCCTGTAATCCCAGCACTTTGGGAGGCCGAGGCTGGTGGATCATCTGAGGTCGGTAAAACCCAGTCTCTACTAAAAATACAAAAATTAGCCGGGTGTGGTGGCCTGCGCCTGTAATCCTAGCTACTCGGGAGGCTGAGGCAGGAGAATCGCTTGAACCGGGAGGCAGAGGTTGCAGTGAGCCGAGATCCCGTCACTGCACTCCAGCCTGGGCGACGGAGAGAGAATGCATCTCAAAAAAAGAAAAAAAAGAAAAAGGCGCAGCTGGGCCCCCGGTCCCGGGGTGGGAGGGGCTGGTCCTGCTCCCAGGAAGGAACCTCAGCCTCTCTCTCTGCTGCCCCCTGCAGGTCAGTTTGGCGCCGGCACCGAGTCCTACTTCTCTCTGCTGCGCTTCCTGCTCCTTCTCAACCTGCTAGCCTCAGTGCTTATGGCCTGCATGACGCTGCTGCCCACCTGGTTGGAAGGCGCTCCCCCAGGCCCTCCCGGCCTCAACACCTCCTCGCCCTGCGGCTTCTACAACCCCCATTCCCAGGGCCTGGTTACCTTCGACACCCAGCTCTTCAACTTGCTCTCGGGAGAAGTAGGTGCCTGGGTCCCTGGGAGATTCCCCCACCCCCCTGTGAGCCCCAGGCTTATTTTTTATATTTTATTTTTTGAGACGGAGTCCTTCGGAGTTTCCCTCTTGTTGCCCAGGCTGGAGTGGAATGGCCTGATCTCGGCTCACTGCAATCTCCTCCTGGGTTCAAGCGATTCTCCTGCCTCAGCTTCCGAAGTAGCTAGGATTACAGGCATGCCCACCAGGCCCAGCTAATTTTGTATTTTTTTTTTTTTTTTTTTTGGAGACAGAGTTTCAATCTTGTTACCCAGGCTGGAGTGCAATGGCGCGATCTCGGCTC